GATTCAATTTAGCTAGTAAAATGTTGGAGGAGGCGGTAAGCTGCCACATAATTTGTGCTTTCAGGCGCCTTTCGGCGAAAGTTTTTGCATGTTTCACATTTAATGTGGCTTCATTTGTGAATAACAGTCCGGCAAAACACGGGACTCGGGTAGGTCCTGAGGGCAAGTGCTCTTTTAACTACTTCCGCTAGGAGTGGACAGAGGTCCTTTCATCTACAGCAGATGCTCATCGTGCGTCACCCCAGGGTTGATCATGAGGAGTGGAAAGTGGAATGTTTGTCCTTTAAGCTCGGAGTTGCCGTTCGCTGACACTGATGCAGTACGCAGAGTCTTTTTAAGACGAAATTGCCTATTTATTTTCTGTAATAAATACATACCTTTTACCAATTTTGCACTCCAAAGCTGCATTTTTGCGGAAAAAAAAATTAGTTGCAGGAATCTGATAACTTCTGCCCAAGTCTTTTTAAGTATCGCTCTTCCTTCTTGTTCCTCCGTTAGTGCTCCATCTCCCCAGACCATGCTCAATATTTGCAGAAAATGATGGTCTTTTTAATTTCCATCGTATTTCTCTACATCAGGACACAACTTCGGCATAAACTTTTCCCATATGAAGCTCCGCTGTCTCATACTTTTGCATCAGTGACCATAATTGCTTTGTGACAAAAAATTTAGCTCTGCAGGACTTTTTGCCACTGTGGAAACCAATTTAAGTCGTTAGTCCCAATTAAACGTAAAATCTCGCCAACTATATTGGTCCTAATCTTCTGATTGATGCGTGGAGATGGTATTATTCAAATAGGATGCGTTAGTAAATGTTTCGTAGGATGTGAACTTGCTGGTAAGGTTTCACTGTTTGCTGTCGCAGAAACTATTGGTAGACCTGATTTAATGACTATAAACTTGCTTCACCTTTTGCAAGACAATCAAGTCCGTCCTATGACTTATCAAAGTTGTTTTTTTTGGGTCATCTTAGGAGACATTAAGTCGGCTGATACAGCAACGTGCCTTTTTGCGTTCCATGAATCGCACAGCCTTCAAGGAGGTGATTCAACTTGCACACGATCTAACTAGCATTCGTGTGGCTGTTGGATTCATTGCTGATCTCATGCGACAAGCAACGCATGCATTGAAAGTGGAGACGACAATTGTGCCTCAACAGAGTGGCTGCAGTGCTGACCTCCATCACATTGCCTCGCGACTCCTCGTAGACTTCCTGGAGGCACAGGAACGTTGGTCCGACTTCTCCTTTACCTCCACTTCAGCTTCTACTTATACTCCAGGCCTTGTTATTGACGATACTTCTCCCACCAACACCTCTGCCAACGCAGATGTTGAACTACGTCTTGTGGAGTGCTTTTTCGCAGCTCAGAGCATTGGCACACGACTGCAATCACATCTTCGTGATCTCATTCAAAGTGTGAGTTATCAACCACTTTGGAAAGTCTTATGCTTGAAGTCGCGATTTAAAGATTTGTTCTTGCTGCACTCTGACCCAACCAAAATTGATAAGAAACAGTGCCGTAAGAAAATCATGCTAAGTTAGAAAACTCGAACTTGTGTTTACATCCTACAAAAGGGAAGTCCTCCGGCATGACCGAATACAAGAGTTGCAAAAACAATTTGACCGGTCCAAATGGATCCGTATTTATAACCCAGTGGAATCGCAAGGGGAATAAGTGGTATTCAAGCGAGCATCTTTCAACCCTTTTTATAAAGGTAGCATAAAAAAAACAAGATCTACAGTTGCATAATGCAAACGAGATCCCTTTTAATTCTCTTTCCTTTGTCTCAAGCTTCTTCCACATGCTGGATTCAACATGCATTCTCCATCAAGTCACTCCATCGTACAGCTTTAAGCAATGTTTTGTAGGGAATGTAGCGAATTTGTATGCAAATCGTTTGACCTTTGGCAATAACTGCAACACTTAGGATATGTCTTGGCAGCTTGTTGTGAGGATACTCAAATGCGTCCCAAACTTCGCATGAGTAAGGCATCGGTAAACATTTATTACGCCATTATTACTTTTTGTTTTTACAAAAATCGGAGCAGTTTTGTTAGGACCCACCAAAACAAGCGTTTTTGTCATTTCGTGAAGCCGCACTTGCAGGCATTGTGAGTTGGTTGATTGAACTATAAAATGATCTGACTCGCACGTTGAATGTGTGGCTGGCAGATATTCGAGGCTAAGCTCTCTTGATTCACCTAAGAGCGTCTAAATCATATTAATATGACAGGTAAGAACAGTCTCCTACTTTGACGGTAGAAAAACTAAAGGAACTCTCCTTTATCTCAATAGGCAACACTTTTCTCAGTTGCAGCGCACTATTTACCACGCTGATAAAGCGGTCATACCACCGTTTGCCATTCCCTTTGTTCGTTTTAAGGACTTCGGAGAAGGAAAAAAAGAAGACAGCTCTCAAAAACTAATTGCTTATGCCACTGTGGAGGGTGCGATGGCTGCGCAAGCATGTCTCCATCTACAGACGCGTATTAATGTGTGGTTTCAAAGGCATGCTTGAGTGTGGAAAAATTAAGTTACTTTGGGAATGGAAAGATTAAAGTGACGACGTTGGTGGCGGCGACAGCAATGAAACCCACTGCTTAGTCGCGTAACTTTTTGCAGCATTTCGGCTGTAAGAGGAGAGCATCGAGCCGTGACGAAGTCACTCAGGTTATGGGGTAAGGGATTTTAGCTTTGAAACACCCAACCATCACCTCCACGTCTCACTTCCCACCCTCCACCTTTGTTCAATTTAGACGGAAAGGTAGACTGCTTACCATTTTGGTTTGGCGGATGGAAATTTTACCGTTGTTTAATGACATGTATTTTTGCGCCATAAAGTGGCGCACTCAATTCGCCTTTACAATCCACTTTTTTGTCAATGGTACCAAACTCTCCGTTGACAACGAGGCGTTCAGGTTTATTATTGTAAACTCCCTTCATTGCAAGTCTTATGAATGCTTTAGCGCACC